CCTGGGTTCTAGCTCCAGTTTTGTTTTGTTTTTTTTAAAAAAAACCCAAAAGACAAGCTTTTATTTATATCCAAAATGTGGTTTCAACTGGTGGCACTAGTCACATTTCCAATTCATAGCCACAGTTTAGCCTGGGCTTGAGATAGACTTTGTGGAGGGTGTTGGAGGGTGTTTGAGCCATTCTCAGAAGATCTTTGTCTTCACAGTAAATGTGAAGGGCCATTCCAAGGGGCATCAAGACAGAAAAGCACACTTGTAAGACAGACACATGTTGTGAGAAGCCTGGGTTCGTACAGTTGCACTGTCACTGATAGGGAAGATCTGATTGTACTGTCCACAGCTGGGAACTGTCCCGTTAGATCAGGAAGTCCATACTAGGGATTTCAGAGATGTGAAGGGGCTGAAAGCAGTGGGAACGGGGAAGGTTATAAGTGGGAGATTTATTGTGACATAGAAAGAGGAACAATTTCATTTTTCCCCATCTTCTGCCTTCCTCCGAAACACAACTGGATGTTGTATAACCCATTTCCTGTGGAAATTGGTCTAGCTGCTTCAAAATCCATGTTATATAAGTCATGAGTTATATAAGCAGTAGACATCAGGACCTTTAGTTAATGTTTTTTCTTTCTGTGTGCATGTATAATTGGAATTTTTAGAAACTGGTGGATAAATGAATATAGTTTTCTTTAAGGCATGCATTTAGGCTGATAGTGACATGATGGTTTTTAAATCTCTCAATAAGTCTTGTGGTAATCCCAAAGAAGCCAAGTAGTTGGCCCCAAACCAAAAAGGTTATATTTTATTTTAAGAAATAGGATTAAGACATGTACGATGTCCCAAGGAGTAGTTAGGAGGCTTTCAAATAGGAGTTAATTTTTTAATACTGGAGCAGAGGGAGATGGGTTATGTAATCTCCATGGCCCAAGAGGACCCAAGGAGTTTTGTGGCATCCTTACATCGTGTTAGTCCTTCACATTTCTCTTATACTGCATCTCCTCTGAATAGGCTCTTTTCATAGCTCCAGTGCTATTTTGTGAACTTTGATTTCTAAAGTGACTTTGTAGCTTTTGAGGTAATCTACAGACTGAACATTTTCTTTTCTTTAATATTTTATTTATTTGTTTATTTATTTTTGGTCGTTTTGAGACAGGGTCTCCATGTAGCCCCAGCTGGCCTGGAACTCACTATGTAGACCAGGCTGGCCTTGAACTCACAGAGATCCGCCTGCCTCTGCCTCCCGAGTGCTGGGATTAAAGACGTGCCACCACGCCCGGCTTATTAATTATTTTTATGTGTATGAATGTATTGCTTGCGTGCATGTAAGTGCACCCATGTCATGCAGTGCTCAAAGAGGTCAGAAGGCATTGGATTCCCTTGGAACTGGAGTTACAGACGGTTGTTAGCTGTCATGTAGATGCTGGGAATCAAACCCAGGTCCTCTGCAGGAACAGCCAGTGCTTTTAACTGCTAAGCCATCTCTCCAGCCCCTGAGCATTTTCTTAAGCTCATTGAGCCACTGAGAGTTGACTTTTGCCCTTAGCAGTGAAGTAGAGTTTTTTGATAATAAAAATATCCCAATTTCCCAGACTTTATGATAAAGAAAGGTAGATATACTGAGACTGTTTCATGTTAAGATGATTAAGTGGGGTATTTATGTGCTTACATTAGAGACGAGGTTGTGTTGTGGCTAACACATGGTACCAGTACTGACTTAACCCATCACAAGCTTCCTTTCTGTGCTTCGTGTTGAGTACTGCACAGTTACCCAGGGACTTAGACTAGTTGGAAGTCACATTTAGGAACTGCTTATAGAACATGACCTTTTAGGTGAATGTTGTGAAAGGGCCTAGGGAACTACAATAAGATGTTTACAGTGTCAGCCTGGAAAATGATCATTTCTGCTGATGTTTGATTGGGCAGAAGTAGCTCTGACTCTGCTATGGGTTGCTTGTAAATGTTGAACACATGGACCCTGCTGGGGATTCTGGTCTCTGCTGTAGGTAATCTCATTCTAGTGTTGTGAGTAAAGGTGTCAGGCTAAGTGAAACTTGCTTCACAGAGTGTACGCCTACAGTGAATGAGTCTTAAAATGATTGAGATCATCCACTGTCGGGAGGGGATGCAGCTGTGAACTGGAGAATCCTCTCTTTCTCAGTTGCCTAGATTTTAGGTATCACAGCTTTGTATGACAAAACATTTTTATGTAACAGGACGCTGTGTTTAGAGTTTCTCTCTGGAAAATACAAAAATGGGGCAACCAATATGGCTCAGCAGGTAAAATTTGCTTACCACCAAGCTTGACCACCAAAGTTCACTTCGTGGGACCCATGTGTTGGAAGGAGAACCAACATTACAGAGTTGTTCCCTGACCTCAAAACATGTGCCCTTGAGCATGCGTGCACGCACACACAGAATATTTTTATTTTGTGTGTATGAGTGTATTGCTTGCATGTATGTGAGTGCACCCATGTTGTGCATTGCTGCGGAGGTCAGAAGAGGGCTTCGGATTCCACTGGAACTGGAGTTAAGGACAGTTTGTAGCCACCATGTGGGTGCTGGGAATAGAACCTGGGTCCTCTGCAAGAGCAATCTGTGCTCTTAACTGCTGACCCATCTCTCCAGCCCCAGAATAATTTTTTAAAGAATACAAACATGACTTTTGGAACAAAATCATTTTGTTTGTAAAGGTTATATTTTTGTTCTTTTGCTGTGTTTAAAATGTTATTTTCAGTATTAAACATGTATATATAGAAGTGGAAGAATTTGTCTTTAAAATGCTGGTGTTTAAATATATATTCTTCTGGCCAAGCGTGGTGGCACACACTTTTTT